GGAAACTTTTGAGCATAAACTCGAGAAGCCAATAAACTATTTTTATGACATTCTTCAAGGGTGAAAATCATGTCAATACGCTCTTCCCTTGGATAATTCTTCATTTTCACTTAGCAACACAATAATAATATTAAAATAACGACTAGCACGTCCCCAATTACACAAAACAATACCACTCTAGCTATCAAAAAGAGACTTTGCAGTCTAAACTGAGAAATAAAATAAATGATTTGACATGTGTAAATGGCATAGGCAACTTATATACATTGGAACCTTAAATTAAACAACACCAAATGGTGCACAGAACGACTATTTGACGTATTTTATAAAAAGGCAAAAACGTAGCTATTAACATCCTAATACCATTCGATAGGTAATTAAAAATTGCATTTCTTGGTAAATAAAAACCAACAACCAAAAACAACGTACAATTAGAATAGAACAAAGAAATAAAAGTAACTCTAATTCCAGCAGCTGCAGATCATTAGTGCAAAGAAAAAGTTGTTGCAAAGTAGAAATACGCCCAAAAGCAATGCCAAAAACTTTAAAAAAATTTAACCAACATTAACGCACTTGATAATTCGCAAAGAGAAATAAAATTCACTAAGAAAATGGCAGTAACTAACAATCAAATGCGCGGTGGCTCTAATTATTATTTCCCACATAAAATCAGGAAGCGTAACAAGTCGGAACTAAAGAGTTCATTAATTTTGGAAAAATTAGAAAAATTAAAAATAACGGAGTAACGATGTAACAATAAATAAGATTGTTCTAAGAAACACTTTGAAACACGAGCTAGAGTTGTATTAAACAAAGCCAAAATTAATATTTGCTAAAAATGAACATGCTAATGCAAAAAATCAGTAACGATTATATTGAAGTTGTGAATGAAAAAAATACATACTGATACAGGCTATGTTATTTCAAAAGCATTTTAAAAATATTAAAATAATGATATTTTCTGTATTTTTCAAAGTAATCGAATTAACAAGTACAAGAATTGATTTTCGAGTATTTTGTAAAAGTCCCATATTATGTCCCAAGTTCTGGGAACCGTCTTGGCTCCGTTTTATTTCTGTCTTATCATTTTCATTCCACCATACATTTTAAACGAAGTCATGATTTTTTACTTGCCATGCACCTCAAGATGTATTGCAAATATATTGTTTCAGAAAAAATTACATGGTACCTCAATTCGACGAGTCGCCCAGAGATCAAATACGTACTCCAAAAGTAATTCAGTAAGTTTAAATTAATTTCGAAATTTCGCTTTGAGTTTCAAGGCGTTTGCAAACTTGAAAATAGCCAAATCAAATCACAATATTTCAAATGAAAATTACAAGGAAAAACAGGAACAAATTCAAAACCTCAGTTAAGAGTCATGAAAGTCGTGATTATTAATTTTCTTCTCCAATTTATCAATAATTCAAATACTATCTGCCGTTAATAAAAAATATTGGAAATAAAGTACATTTTATTCCGAATATCATAAAAATAAAGTGGTTTTCTTGTTCAACCTTACTTTTCATCCACTGAGGGGTAGCTAATACTTTATGTCGTTGGAGTGAGCGAAAGCATTTCCAATTGTGTCATTTTATTGGATTATTGGTTCATTTTCTTGTAACGTTCTTCGAATGAATATGTGGCATTGGAACTGCTTTCCAATATTCCTTGGCCATGGACTTACATGACATAAATAAAATTTCCCAAAATAATAAAATTATTAAGTTATTGGTTATTATAGTTCGTTAGTTATTAGATTCGATAACCAAGTTTTGAATTCCAAACCCGATCGCAATTTCACGTATTGCTGAATCGTATTTTCATTTCTTGTTGAAACAATATGGAACCATCGCAATCTAGTTTAGATCCGATTTTGCCCAGAGCTTGTTATTTCAAACAAAAGAGCTGTTGCAGGTTTCCAGTATTTTAAATTGGAAAATATATTTTACAGAACATTAAACTGCGAAGAATGAAATACTTCACAAATGGCACACAATAGAATGGGAATTAAAATTTCCCGTTCAACAGCAAATAGGTTTTAATAAATTAGATTTAATTCGAATATTCCATCGCTCAATAAATATTTGCGATCTGCCGTCGACTTATTCATCCAGCTTGTTTTATACTGTCGTATATTGTCAGCAGGAGATGAGATCTCCATGCAACAGAAAATGAGAACAATGAAATTGAATGAAAGTCTTTAACATTTTGCCGTATTCAATGTCTGCCAAATCTTTTCCGTGAAATCAACTCAGACTTTTTACAGATATAAATTCCAACACAAAATGAAATGCAAAGATGTAAACTATCAGAATATGCTTTCAGCTTCGAGAGCCAGACACTTTGAGCAAAATTTAGAGTATATAAAATCTAGCATCATGTCTAAGTTTCCTAGTAGAAGAACTTTATACGGTGTAGTGTCAAATTACTCGTAAAATGCAAGAATGGGTGGTGTTTAGTGTAAACGGCTAAAGAATCAAAAATATTTTCATCAGACCGTTTCATTTAACTAAACTTCTCATGAATACATGAATAAATTGTCCATCATCATGTACTTATATTATATATATAATATATTAAACGGAAAGTCCGAAAGCCCTGTAAGCCATCACATGAGTTTGTTCAAGTTGATTAGTATTATTTAGATTGGTAGTACGAAATTATGGAAACTGCGATCCTTAGTTCTACATAATGCCGAATTAATTTTGCCGCTAAACTGAGTAGTTTGTTGTTCGAGTTTGCCTGATATTCTATAAAGCTTTGTCTATATTTGCATATCAAAAATCAGTTGAATAATAAATTATTTGATGCAATATTAAATTGATTTTAATGTAAACCCGGGGTACAATGGTAGGATCGGGGATTAATGCAATCATTCATTTTAAATGTTTATTTTTAATTAACTAATTTAAATAACATTTAAGCACTGCCGTAAGTAAACAAGAAATTGTTCCTAGTGTACGTGAGGAACTTTAGGAACAGTTACTTACGAAAAAAAATATTTGCTGCAAGAAGCGGTATGCTAATTAATTTTTAAATGTTACACATTTTCTGGTTGTCAAAACATACATTTGGCTATGTTTGCCAAAATAAATATGCTTTTCTCGCAAAACGCGTAAACAGAAGTTAGCAGATATTTTTTAGAAATAAATGCCAACATGTTTACTTCTTAATCAGGTTTTACAATAAGAAATTTTCATCTGATGAAAAAATGCTGCAATTTATATGTGCATTCACTTTTGTATTTCGCAGCTTCAAATAACTTAAATGATTAAAACATAGTGGTCCTTATTGAACTGCTCCATAGGAGGAAATTCTCGAAAATCATTAATGAAGGAATGGGAACAGGCTAAATATATATAAAACAATTACAAAGTTGCAATTTCGGATGAAACTTGCATATAAGAAATTGGTAATTAATTTATTGATTATAAAGGTGTTAAATTACTCACCTTCAAAATTGCTTTATTGTTGCCAATCGCAACAAGAACAACTATGAAATTTGAAAGTTTTCTCTGGACAATTTTGAAGTAAACTTACTTTAAGGCAAATAAGTAAATAAAAACTTGTTCAGATGCTGAAAATTTCCTATATTGAGCTTAGTTAAATAGAAAAGTATGAAAAGGTTTGTAAAAAAAATTCGTCATCACATGAGTCTCGAATGAGTGCGATGCGTGCGAAAATTTTCGGGCAAAGATAGAAACGATTAAAAACCGATGCTCTACAACTGGATCACATTCCTTAAATGTTTCAATGTTTTGCGCCATTTTCCAGCTCCAATTTTAAGTAAGAATAAGTTTATTTGTGTTGTCATAAAATTTCTTCTACAGCCATTTTATAGTGTCTTATATTCACAGTGCCGCAGCGATGGAATTAACTAACTTGATTGCTGTATTTTAGTCAATCAAGAAATTAGGGATTAAAAATTTTGAGAATAATAAAAAAATACAATAAGTTTTGCAGTGCTTTAGATGATTTATTTAAAATGCTCGTTGTTATTGTGGTACTTTGGACATCCCGGGCATCGTTTTACATATATGGGAAAACCACTACATTCTACTGTGGATGCAGCTATTCCTGTTGCGAATATATTCTGCGGTTAAACCAGCTTGCTAATTTGACAAGCTCGTTGGCTTAGTGGCTTTCACTAACATCATATTTTAATATATACTATATTCCCCGTACTTGCCTTGTCACTTTATATTTTATTGAACGCCTTGTTTTATAGACTTTGATTCAATAGCAGTAAGATAAAACTGCTTAAAGCTACACTTCTGCTTATTTTCTGGACATAAACTGCAGAAAGACTCCGGAATCAATCAATGCAATGGAAGCAGGCACATAAAGCTTTTATTTCTCTTCTCTTTATTAAAGCGGTGATTGAAGTGAAATAATTTAATGCAAAAAACTCTTAGAGTTTTTATTTAAGCGGAGCCTTTATCTCGAGATCAGATATGAATTTTTGCACAAAGCAATAACAGTCGTTAGTTTGCTATCTAAGTATTTACATTTCTACTCGCCTAGAATTTTCAATTATATTTCTACCCTCTTTTAAACTTATTTGTTCCAATCCAGCGGCAGCAAATTATCTGAGGATATTTATTAAAATCTTGGTTAAAATGTTAATTAATTTTCTTTCAATCTTTTACAAGGAATCCGTCGAATTATTAATTTAAATTGCGCCTCAATTATTATAAATTGAGCAGAAGCTCTAAGAGCTTCTTTAGGCATGGAAACCTAATTTTGTCATTTTAGTTGGTAACGGTTGGCTATTTAGGTAATATACTGTCAATTGTTGCTAACTGAAGTTTTTCCGTTTATTCTCTGAATAAGGCAGTTTTCCTCAACTTTTGTTTATACTTTAATTTGCTTCAGTTTCCACTGGTAATAATGAAGATTTTTTAAAGTGTTTTTCAGTCTAGTCTAATCAACTTGAATAAATCCTGTACACCCGATCGAGCATGTTGTTAAGTGTTTAGATGTTCTTAAAACATATATTTTTTTATGAAACATTTTTTGAAAACGTGGCTTACTTCAAATGACTATTCAAATGAAAGTTCTATTATTTGGTATATTATGATGTTTATATTATTGCTAATCAAGTTAATATCGTGCGTAAAAAGCAGTTACTTAAATATTTATATAGGCGGAACGAGTGCACTAAACTGCGACCCACTAATTTATGAAGAAAATATAATAGCTCAATCTGTTCTGCTGATCTAAATTACACAGTTTTGGAGAGATTTCTAGGACGACAAAATTAACCCGGTGTGTTGTAAAAAGTTAGTGAAGGCTTAGCATATATAAAAATAAATTGATTTACTGGATTGTCAGATATTTTCTTGATGTTAAAGCAGTAAATAGTAAAGCTCTAAAAGTCTTTTTAGGCAAATCTGGTTTCTTTTTGGCTTTAATTTGTGTCTTTTTGCATGAAGTTCAAAACATATCTTAAGGCAAATAAAATCGTCCACTTTATTAAAAGTCACATAGAATGATCACCAGTTACAACTTTAATTTGTAGCCCGAATATCATCGCATCCGTAAATTATATTATCGTACAGAGAACTTGTAATCCAGCATTGCAAACATCTAGAAGTTTAAAAGTTTGTCAAGAACTTTGAACATTTTTCAAGAACTTTCAGTCGTTTTTCTAGAAAGCTCTTAATTTGCGTCACGTAGCGACAGTGCTGCTAGTTTAGAAGAACAGATATCACTTTTTTGTTACCTTAAGTAGATTTGTAAGGCAATATTGCCAGCATTTTTTGTCTTAGATTCTATTTTGCGTTACGTTTTAACGTTAAGTTTTATTTTGCACGTACACATTTAAAGTATAACATTTTATAAATTATCAAATTGACGCAAGTAACATAGAAGATGTTTAAGAAATGTATTTGCAGCAAATGCAAAGCAGTCAGTTATATTAGATGGATATAATGAATAAAATATACAAACTGTTCTTCACATGAAAGTTTCGAGAAAATATCAGGGCACCAACATGAATTTAGATTTTTCAAAATTCTGATTTGCGTGTTAATCGGGTATATTCTACACTATTAATAGTATTATATTTAGTACAACGTATAAATATAGTATCTGAATCCCTCCATAGCATGCCAAATGTAAAAGATTGATATAACCGAAAGGAAACTAATAATTTCTTTAAAACAAATAATTTTTTTTGAAGCAGTAAAAATCTGCGATCTTTATTGCAAGTTAGCTAGTGGAAAGTTAGTTCGAACAACAAACTTAAATGTATTTATTATTAAATATGTATCTATGTAATTTATGCATACAGCATGTCAGCATTAAGAATTTACCACCCTTCTTAAATCTTTACTTTTCAATCGATTTTACGGTCGTCCGTAAACTTTCATGATGTTTAATTTCAAAAAGTACGATTAGTGCAAATTTTAGAGACAAATGGCAACCCATTCTCATTTATAATAGCTTACAATCCATGTCGACCATGTTCTCTATGTGTGTATAAAAAAATACAGTGTGCAATATTCTCATCAAAAGACTTAAATTAATTACTTTGTTAAACACGGTTCCAAGTATAAAATATCTGTATCAGACGATTATAATTGCGAAAAATACAAAATGTAATTACTATTATTGCAAGTCTATTAATTGCTAATATTTACTTATCATTAAAATGAGTAAAGTAAGTGTGGCGAAACGAAAAACAAATTGAATATGAGTATTGAATGAACGAATGAATATCCTAAAACCAATGTTTCGTGTATAATAATTTATGATTATTATATTGATTTTTCTGCTTGCTCATCTTTGCAGAATAAAGAAAATTGGTAGAAATTGATATTACCCCATTTTATGAGAAATTCGATAGACACATTTTTACAAAAAATTTCCTAATAATACTTTTTGAAGTTTGACAACAACAAAAATTAAGTAGTTAGCCCTGACTGGAGATTAATATTGAAAGCACTTACTAGTAAAATGCGCATTTTCAATAGCTAGATCATGAAAAAGAATAATTAAAATTGTTCAAAAAGTAAAGATTTTACAAAGGTTCTTAACCCGGACACACTGTATATGCTCTATTTTTTATTATATCTGATGCAAATATTAAACACTTAGATGGCATAGCAACTGTATGCGCTAAGTATTTTATTTCTCTGTGATTTTTAATAAAATATAGTATCTCCAAGACATTGTTTCCACCCACTTACATCGAATAAATCTCATTCATCACAATCCACATATACTTAGCTCACTCGCCCTTTTAAAAGTATTAAAAACTCTAGAATGCTGTGCCGTTCATTGGCCATTTTAACGAGAATTAACCTATCACCTAAACCTATTAGATAGACCAAAAACGAAACTCTCTTATACATGTAGATAAACTCAAAATGACTTATTTTAAGTGTTTATATTTTATTGAAAGTCAAATAACTTATCTACTAAAATGGTAAAGATTACTTAATAATATTTAAAAAAACTGTTGTTAAATTGTTTTTCTTTAATTTTCACTAAGTAATATGCAACCCGTGTATGTAGTAGCCCCAATAACCCAATATTTAAGTTGTAGTCGCAAACCGTAAGCCGCAAAAGCAAAGGAAAAATTTGAAGATTTTTTTAAACGCGTTTATTACCGATATTTGTAAAAACGGCCTCGTTATAAATTTGAGACCTGATTAGCATGCGTTCTGCAAAATACACGTTTCAGGCATATAAAGCTGTTTACCAGAACTGAGGCAATACTGAATTCTGAATATGGTTTTTAGGACAAACAGCTTTTTTTGCCTAAATCTCCATTTTGGTTTCCAGATATGAATAACACAATGAACATGGTGGATGCGGAAAATCGCGTAGTGTTGAACGTGGGAGGAATTCGACATGAAACCTACAAAGCTACGCTGAAGAAAATTCCTGCCACTCGACTTTCTCGACTCACCGAAGCGTTGGCAAATTACGATCCCGTTCTTAACGAATATTTTTTTGACAGGCATCCTGGAGTCTTCGCTCAAGTTCTGAATTATTACAGGTGATATTTCGAATTAATTTTTAATTAATAAATATTTACATTTACTTAGTAAATAGGAAAAAGCTGCTCAAGAAATGGAATTAGGGAAATAATTATATGCGTGAATCAAAATTGGATCTACTATTTTTAGATTAAATTTTACTGATGAATCAAAAATTGAATAATTATATGTTCCTAGGACTGGAAAACTTCACTACCCTTCAGATGTTTGTGGTCCTCTCTTTGAAGAGGAATTAGAATTTTGGGGCCTTGATGCAAACCAAGTAGAACCCTGTTGTTGGATGACATACACCCAAGTAAGCTATTTTAAATATTATTTCAAATTTATTGGTATCAGGTCAGCAAATATTTATATATAATCATAACCTCATGTTACAAACTAAAAAATATATCTTTGTTAAACTTATGGTAGAAAGCTTAAAACTCGAACGTAATTTTTAATAATTAATTCAATTACGTTTTAAAATTTAGAATTTTTTTTGCTAATTCAGTTTCAGCACGCATTAATCAATACAGGATTAACATTTAAAGTAGCTTTTCCAAAAGCGGAACACTTACAATAATCCTGTATGCTTTCAACGGGTAATCGGATTTATCTAAATTGTGTTTTTTTACCACCAGGAATAAATTATTTTTATTAGTTCAGTTGAATGCCAAATTGTTGCAAAACCAATATTGAGAAAATATCGTTATAAAAGCTTTACTTTTCGGTTATTCTTTAATTTTAATTAAATCTTAATATCCCAACATATCACTAGGACCGTTCCGATAAGGATCACCCAAAAAGTGCAGAAACATCGCTTGCGTCATTCAGATTTTCTCAATATGAAATTAACAAATTTTACTTTTGTGAAAATATTAGTGCGAAACAATGTTTCTCATATCTTTTGGGTAGCAGGTTACGAATGAAAAGCATCCCTAGTTAGGATATTTTCTTTCTATTGAAAATCTGATATGTCTATTAAGTAAATTTGAATATTTACAGATAACCGGGAAGTACATGCATACAGGGTGGTTTTTTTAGTGCGAGAGAGGCGATTATTCCGTTGGTGTTGAACTTTCGAAAAATAGTTTCATATAAAAGTTGTTGACACACATTTTAAAAATATCTTATATAATACAGAGTGTCTCAAGAGAGTGATCAAAGTGTATTTTTTAAGTAGAACTACCAATTTTTCACTAGCTCATGGGATGCGGCTTGAAACGCTGCATATGCACCGTCAATTGTTTTTTCTTACTTGAGACGTTGGCAGATTATCGCCATTTTAGTATAATTTTGCATAAAAACATGGTATCTAAAAATTCATTGTAGAGGGAAAAAAATCAGTTAAAGATACAAAAAATACGTTTTCAATCACCACAGATCCGTTAAGAATTATATTGAACCAAAATATCAATACATTGTACAGGGTGTTAACAATGTGGGCTTCAATCTAAAACTTTTTAACGCAATATAACTTTTGTTTTTCAAATGGAAGTACCTGTATAATAATACGTCATTAGATAGACAATTCACAAAGTTACAAATTTGCATTTACACTTTAAGCTGTGAAATCAACTGTTTTCAAATTATAAATTATTTTGTTTAAAAATTTCAAAAAGTTGTTACATTTTGTAAGGTAGCTATGGAATTCATAATAAAGTTACAAGTTATAGTTATAAATAATTAAATTCTTAAAAAAGTGTCAACATTTGATGATCCTTGAGATACCCAATGAAGAAAAGTGCAATGTTTTATAAAATGCATGGAATTTCACAGCAAAAAATGAAATAAAACTGCATACGTCATAAAAATAAAAATATGAAATTACTAGCTGACTCGGCAAACGTTGTATTGCCATATAAATTATTCCTATGGTTTTTTTTTCATCTCGAGTGGGCGGTTTGCCCACTTGAGATTTTTTTTAAGTTTTATTTTAAATTTATTGAATTACTAATATAGCTATTAAAAGATAGGGGTTTATGGCAGCACCCATATCACTTAGGGAATAAAAAATATGTGTGAACGAGGTGACCCATGAACAGGCGCACCTCTCTCTATCCACCTCCCTGTCTAATGTATTGATATTTTGGTTCAATAGAATTCTTAACGGATCTGTGGTGATTGGAAACACGTATTTTTTTGTATCTTTAACTGCTTTTTATTGCTTCTACAATTAATTTTCAGATACCATGTTTTTAAGCTAAATTTTACTAAAATGGCGATAATCTGCCAACCTCGCAAGTGCGAAAAAACAATTTATGGTGCATATGCAGCGTTTACAGCATACAACATGAGCTAATGAAAAATGGGTAGTTCTATTTAAAAAAATACACTTTGACCTTCCCTCGCTTTTCTGAGACACTCTGTATCATATAAGATATTTTTAAAATATGCGCACTTTGTGCGTCAACAACTTTTATATGAAACTATTTTTCGAAAGTTTAACACCGTCGGAAATAATGGACTCCATCGCACTAAAAAAACACCCTGTATATTAGTAGTAAATTTCTGTGGCTTGATTATAAAAACCTGAAATCCAACTGCTACATTTGTGTGCTACATTCAAGTGGATTCAAGGTCTTTAAACTTTCTTTTCCCCCTTCAATTCTTCAACTTAAATAAAAAAAACCATATGGGCTCTCTAGAAAGTTGTCTTTAATCGGAAAATGCAAACTAATATAGTCTGAAAGCGCTATTCTATGATATCTGATTTTCATGTTTTTACACTTATTACAAAATTGTATTCAATTGGCAATGTCGTTTGCAAAGCAAGCAAATAACCGTTTTGAAATGCAGTTTATTTCCCTGCTGGATACTTCGTCATTTGGCCATATTTCTGCCCCTAGTGTACCACACGATTTTTCTATAACGTAAGATATTCACTCAAAATATAGTTCATGCATTTTCAAAGCACAAGACAATTGTATTTTCGATGGGGATTGCCGTTAGTAAATCTCTACGATAGCAAACAATAGTAATTTAATAATTTTTTGCAGATTAAAAATTCGAAAATTGCAGCGTTCCAAAAAAGCGAAAAATAGTAGTCGGATATCATATTGTACCGAGGATGGCCGAGTATCAAACTCTTTCTTCAGCTTCCAACTTTTATTCACCTCGGTATCACTTTAAATACGTAACAGGAACAAACTGACTTCAAAATTACCGTCAACTTCATAAACAATAACAATAACAAACGGAAAACTCGCTCTTCCGACTCGCGGGGTTTAACCTCTTCTGAACTCAGTCGCTACTGTCACTTCACTTCCCCCGGTCTGGTTCTCGTATTCGCTTATATAGATTCCTTCTGGTAACCCAGATGGATCTCGAAATCTCCAGAACAGGTGCGAAACTTCCCGCTTGTCAGTGTCATATTTGACAGTAAATGGGGCCCAAATGGAGCTCCCATTTACTGAAATACCATGAATTT